ATCAGCATCACCCACCCTGATAAGGGCGAGCAGGCCACCGCGCCGAATGAAACCCGCCTTCGCTCCAGGCACCGACATCATCAGCCACGATGCACACGCCCACAGCGCCTGCCGCAGCACTTCCGATTCAGGGACAAGGCGGAGTGCGTCGTTGTCGCGCTCAAGACAAGCCACGTCATTGTTATCATCATCACTCTGATCGTCACTGGCAGCATCGTCATCATTGTCATTGTCGTCGCTGCTTCCGTCCTTCTCCCACGCTGCTGCCGTGTCCACCGCTTCTTGCTGTTCCTCCACGCGCACAACCGAAGGATCTACAGCACAGAGCACGAACACACACACACACACACACACACACACATACGTAGACATACACAAGCGCATGCACAGAGTGAGCAGTGGTCAATCATGCAAGCGAAGTGGTGCAGCTAACACTTGCACACATGCATATGTGTGTGATTAGCCTGAAAGAGATTCACAATAGCACGACAGCACCACACCGAGACACGCCACGTCGCATGCAAGGCAGCGTACCGAGACTAGCGATGAAGGCATCGGCGGCATCGCTGGAGAAGAGGGCCCTCAACACGTCGTCCTGTGTCCATCCACGCGCACGCGTGCAGTTCCAGGCAAGGTTCACAATGGCGTGTCGCGCAACCAAACGCATTTGATCGCTCCATGCTTTCGTTCGGTTTTCTATGTCCAACGCCGGATGTTTCAGCCACTTGACCAGCGCCTCCAAACCGGTTCCTGCCGCAGCCACACGAACACACACACATATGCACAACGGTAAGTGTCAATGGACACATGCACACGCGCGCGCAAAGATTTGCACATGTCAGCGTGCACACGTTCAAACGTGCAACAAAACAAATTTAAACGTACACACAGACACAGACACACACACAGACACAGACACAGACACAGACACAGACACACACACACACACACACACACACACACACCCACCCACACCCACACACCCACACACCCACACCCACACACCCCCCTTCTTCCCCCCCCGCACACGCGTTCTTGCACATGCCTCGTGTGCATGCTCCACACCGCACCTTCCATGACACCTGAAGCCTTGAGAGGAGAGAGGCAGGCGCACGCGACACAGCGGAGCGTCTCGGCCAACACTGCATCGCTGTGCTGCTCATCCTGCGCGGCGGGAATTGGGGGTGGTCGCAAGTTGATGGGGGAGAGGACAAGGAGGGGCTTGCTGTGAGGCAGGTGCACGTGCGATGCAGCAAGCACTGATCACGCGCCAGATCAGCAACATGGGCAGACATGCTGAGATACATGCACACTTGCATCCAAACACACACACACACATACACATACACACCAGGAGAATGGAGGAGAGCTGGTCGAGCATCCCGTCCTCCGCCAGCGCCTCCGAAACGAGACCGTGGTGACCTGTCGTGACATTCGCACCCATATGCACACACATGCCCAAACACATACACAAATACACAAATACAAACACACACACACAAATGCAAATACATATGCACAAACACATATACATATGCACACGCAAATACACACATGCACACACACACGAAAATACACGCATGTACACATGTAAGGGACGATGACAATGGCATAAGTGCCGTGACGGAAGGAATCATGGCACTGAACATCATGCGACATGTCTACGGCGTCGTGCAAACTCACGCAGCACAGCGACTGCCGTTTCCTCTGTCTCCTTCGCCAAGTGCATGAAGTGCTGCAGGTCACTCTCGCTCACACCCTGGCCATGCGTCGTGTGAGGGGAAACGAGTGAAAAGAGTGAGAAGAGCGAAAAGCGCGAAATGCTGCAAGGTTTTGCCGTGTTGTTGTTCGTGCTGGTGGTGTGTGCGCGGCAGCAACCAATACCACGACGAAGGCAACCGCAATCCAATTGGCAACGAAACAGCTCTGTGAGGGTGAAGATCACGTGTCAACGTCACCACCACGGCAGTCATAATCACAAACACCTGTTGCGAGCTGAGGAGTTCGTGGAAGACGGGGGCAGCGACGGTCGTGTGCAGAGCAGACAGGATGCGCACTGCACCAAGGCGGACCAGCCTGTAGTACACAGGCACAGTACACAGTACGCACGCACATGTGTGATGTGAGTGTTGGCTCCGTACATGCACGTGCATGTGCATGTGCGTCTGCGTGTTGAGGGTCTGTGGTGTTGACTCACGGCTTGATGGCGCGGGTGTGTGCGGTGATGGCCTTGAGAATGGCCATGCACGTGTGCAATTCCATGGGCGACGATGATGTCTCGGCCATCGCCATCACATGCGTCACCGTTCCATTCACCACAACCTGGATCACACAACAGGCGACAGGGGTGGATGGAACGTAGGTGGGAGAAGATCAGCATGGTGGTGTGAAATAATCACGCAACGGCAACGGCAGATACATGTGCACTGCATGGTGCATGTCACGTTTAGTGAAATCTCACCTGCACGCACATACGCACAGAGACTAACAGACTCGCATACACAAAGCCACACACGCACGCACACACACACACACATATACACACTCACGCGGATGCTTGCTGTCTCGTCCTCAAACACCGTGGGTAGCAGCGCAGCGAGCGTCGACTTCAAGCCTTCATCTGGCAATGGAAAAATCGGCAGGCATCAAGGGCGGTGAGGACTTGTGTTGGAGAAGAGCACGGCGGACGGTAGACACACACACACATACATACATACATACATACATACACACACACACATACGCACGCATGGCCAACAACATGAGTCGTGCTCTTCGTCCCACGGTGACACGCGTGCGCAAGAACACAGGCGCCACCTTTTGCATTTGCGAGAATCTCGAGGAGGAGGCGTAACGGCACCTGCTGAAGAACGCGTGCTGCCGTTGAAGGAGAGGTGGCCAACGCTCGGCACACCAGCACCGCGCCTACAGACACACACACACACACACACACATGAAGCAGTGCTGTCAGGACACACCCCATTCTGTGACCTGCATTGTCACACACGGCGAATTGCGCGAGTGACCCCCCCCCCCACACACGCACACACACACGCACACACACACGCACACACAAAATACACCAACCCTGGTTGAAGGCCGTGTTGTCGGTTTCCATTGTCATTGCGACGACATTCAGTGCACTGCTGTCCACGAGCGCGCGTGCAAATTCCTCCTGCTGTGCAGGCGACGCGTGTGCAAACGCGAGCATGATCCGCTGTGCGTTCTCGCCGGGCCCCGTCGCCGCCACCGCCGCCAGCAGCGACACCATCATCGATGCGCAGCAGCGGTGCAAGTCACCACCACTGATGAGATGCGGCGCAATGGCAGCGGCCGTGATGCGGGCAGATGCTGATGTGGACGTGGTTGCAGATGCAACGAGGGATGACACCATCTCATCAGTTGAAGCGCCAGCGCTTGTCTTCTCTCCTCCTTCGTCTCCGTCGCCTTCGTCGTTGTCGTTTGCCTGGTCGGTGTGGAACCTCCACTGCGGCGCCCACACATCAACACACAGCTGCAGGTTGGCGGAGAGACGGGGACGGAGATTGGGCAAGGAGCGCGAGTGTGAGCGACTGCAGCATGGCGTTGAAAGGTCGACAGGTAGTCATACAATGATGATGAAATAACACCGTTGACACGCAAAAGCCTACGTTTAGACGAGCAGGCAGGGAGACAGGCAGGGACAGAGGGACACAGACAGATACAGACAGACAGACACACACCCACCCCCCCACACACATACAGACACACACAGACACACACAGACACACACAGACACACACACACACACACAGACACACACAGACACACACAGACACACACACACACACACACGGCTCCCACCTGGTCCAGGGCCTCCAGCAGCGGTGCGGAAGTGGTTTTGTTTGCGAGCGCGTTAAGGACGGGTGAGTGCTGCAAAGTAAAACACATTCACGGAACAAGGCGTATCAGGTCAGAGAGATTACATCAACGCACTGTGCAAGCGAGCTCATGGTCGTGTACTTGCGTTCGCGTCACTGGCACGCCACGCTCACGTTCACACACATACAGCAGAGTCAGCAAAGACGAGAAAGGAGCGTTGTGGCATGTCATCCCGCTCTGACCTGATAGAGCCACTGACGGTGAGTGAATGACATGAGCGCAAGGCGAGACGACACATGCACGATGGGCACAGCATCTGCGTTTGCTGCAGTTGCTGTGAGGATATGGCCGTGGACGGACGAGAGCATGTCCTGTCCCTGGACAAATGGGAGAAGCGACTTGCTGACTTGGGCCTGACAGAACGCGCATGGATGAAATTGTTCGGGGCAGTCGGGTGAGGTCAGTGATGGTGATGTTACGCGTTGTGCATACGCGCACACCTTAGCGGTTCAACTTTCAAAAGCATGTGTGCGGATCACATCACTCCGCGCAATCATGAATGCACACGACACCACACCTCATCCAGCAGGACAGGACAGATGTACAGCGCCGTGGAGATGGCATCCAGCCCAGCTTGCACCCTGTGCATGTGTGTGTGTGTGTTCGAGTGTGCATCAGCATTTAGGTAGGCCACAGACATGTACTTCACTTGCCCACTCACCTGCACATGCGCCCTCTCATCCTCACACATGTGCACGTATTGTCGCACTTTTCCTGTGGTTCTGCGAGCTGCGACGTGCAGAGTTGCTTGATGCGGTCCATCATGAGCGTGGATTGGGACCTGAGGATGATGCAAGGCAAGTGTCGTTGTGGCAGCGATGAACAAGGAGAAGGCAACCGTCTCGAACCTTGCGCACTGCCTGTCAAGTGGTGTCAACACGCAACGCGCATACACCTACGTATATGCATACCCACACACCCACACACCCACACCCACACGTGCACACACACAGGACACGTGACACATCACATGCGCGCCGACGAACTCACACACCTGGTCAAGGAGGCGTGGTTGTCTGCACATGCGCGCACGACGAAGAGGAAGATGCCTGAGAGCCACTGGCGCACCTCAAGATTGTGACTCGAGCACAAGTGCATGAGCATGGCGAATGTGTCTGCGCTGAGGAGAAGTGCGGCAGATGCACTTCCGCTGGCCGCATATCGCATCACAAGGTGACAAATCTGCACGGGATCAACCCAACATGACAGCAGCAGCAGCAGTAGTAGCAGCAGTAGCAGTAGCAGTAGCAGTCTCAGTAGCAGTAGTACGAGCAGTAATGTGATCAAGTGAGATGCTGGGTGGCATGCAGCTCCCGTACACGACCAAGGGGCCGTGAAGCAAGGCAAGATAGCTGTGTATCGTGATAACCGCGCGTGCAGACAATCGCACCTTGTATGCCATTGGGGATGACGGCTGCAGGGCAGTGGTGATGGAGGCCAGCGTGTCGAGTGATGCAGCAGTGAGGGACGAGGCAGCGCGGGCCGGATGCGCGACGATGAGACGAGCAGAGACATCGACAGCAGTGCTGAGCAGTGCGGCACTTCGGAGAGAGAGGTGGCGAAGAACAGCCAGCACCGATGACACCGCAGCAGTAAAGGGGAGGGCGACAATCGCACGTGTGTCCAGGGCAGCAAGCGCACGGGTCTGGATAAGCGTGTGGGTGTGGATAAGCGTGTGTACCAGCGTGTGCATGTGCGTGAGGGGGTGGAGGGGGAAGAAGGTTAGGGCGAGCAGAGCAAGGGAATCTGAGGGAGATGTGGTGTAAATGTAAGGGCATGGAACGAACCGTGACTTCAGCCACGGACGTCTCAATTTCTGGCACAGCAGAGAACCTGATGTGCGAATGATGTTGACGACAAACGGGGGTGCGTGCGTGTGTGAGATTGCGTGCGTGTGTATCGAATTGAGCGGTGGAGGGGGACAGAAGTGGAACTCATCCCAGAACCATGCCCAAATGCACCCAGAACACCAACAACGACAACATCCACAAGAAGTTGGCGTGCATGTGCTTCGCTTTGGAAGTACCAGCACCTGGTGTAGATGCGATCCAGCGTGTCGAGTCCGTGTGCACCAAACAGCGCACGCGAAAAGGCGTCGCAGGGCGATATGCGGGCGAGCGCATGTAGCACTGCCGTCAGCGTACCAACGGGCCCAATTGCCTCCGCTTTGGTCAACACTTCCTTCACCGCCTCCTCCGACACGGCTGTTGCACCAGCAGGTTCATCGTCCCCGCCTTCATGGTTTTGCTCGCGCTGCTGCTGCTGGCGCCGGTGTATTGATGTCAGCAACGATGACAGTTCTGAAAGCATCGACAACACAGGCTGCTGCTGCTCTTCGCTGGCGTCTCTGCCCTTGTTTCCATCATCGGTAGCACCAAGGCCACTGTCATCATCACCACCACCACCACCGCCATCACAGCGGCGATGTGCTGTGCGTGTGTGCGCCTCTGGCACAGCAGCAGCACACACGTCGGCAACAGCCAGCAGTGCCGAGACAGCGCCGCGCTGAACGAGTGTCGTGTTTGACACCGCGTCACCTGCCGTCAGCAGCAGGATGTTCACCACTTGCGGCCGCGCAGTTGGCACGGACGCCAGCTGAAGGCCCGCAAGGAGTGAACCATGTGGGTAGGGAGGAGAGCATGATGAGCATGTGACACCGGGCATGTGCATATTGTGGCATGTTGTGGCGGCAGTGACATTGCATGTGCGTATTTATGACTTGTGACCGTTCGCTTTCATGGAACATATGCACACGGGACTTGATCTCATCTCACCTTAATCACTGCCCCAATGATTCCAGCTTCGTCCAATGTCTCCAGCAGAGCCGCATCAACAACAAGGCGCCTGCGGAGAAGGGGTGTTGCAGTCAGTGAGCGTGCGTGTGTGGCAGCATGCAAGTGTGCAAGTGTGCATGTGAGTGCATGTGAGTGCGGGATGGGCAAGGGACCAATGCATGTGCGTGCGTGTGTGCGTGTGTGCGTGCGTGTGTGTGTGTGTGTGTTGCGTACGGGGATCGTCCTCACCGCGCGAGTTGAGCGACAATGGACAGGGCCGTGTGCATGGCGACCGCTGGGGCGTGCTCGTATGAGAAGCACGAGAGCGCAGTGGAGAGAAGGGTGAGAAGAGACGGGGTTGCAATGAAAGTGCGAATCGCTTCCTGCTCTGGTAGTGCGCACGCCTGCACGCGGCGGAGAGATAGCAAAGAAGAGAGAGAGAAATAACGAAGGAAAGCAGAGAATACCAACCACCAACAACAACGTTGTGATATCCATTGGGTGAGAATAAACTCTTGAAATACAGACCGGCATAAAAGCAGCTTGAGACCACACACCAACGGCCCACGGTTTTTGTTTTTGTTTGACACGTCCGTCATTGGTGTAGCACTCACAACTCTCACCTCAAGGCAATGGTGGACGGCTTGCACGATCAAGGTGACAATCGTGGTCTGATCATCGCTCGTCACTGCAAACCGCACAGGAACTGGCACCCCATGTTGTTGTTGTTGTTGTTGTTGTTGTTGTTGTTGTTGTTGTTGTTGTTGTTGGCCTTCGTTGGAGTGCAACAGCAGCACGTCGTGCAAGCACGAGAAGAGCGCTGTTTGTGCCATCCGAACGCCAAACGCAGGAATGCTGAGTACCATATCACACCACAAACACGTGGTGAGAGGCGATTGTCGTGGGCATTTGAGTGAGCGTGGTGGAGGGGAGAGAAAGAACACGTGGATTAAACGTTGAGAGAGGAAGCAGAAGCGTGTATGAATGTGCGTGATTGTATCTGCGTGCAAGCATGCGTGCAAATGGGCGTGGCTGCGTGCGTGTGTGTTTGAGTACACGCGCGCGTGTGCAGCAGGTACCTGCAGAGTTCTGCTGCTGCTCGAACGGCGTGTGGACTCCCACGTGTGTGTTCCAGCACTCTGAATGTTGCAGCACACACCGACCCAAGGCGTGTTCAGTCGGTGGGTCGTCGCAGGCGGGCAACGGCACGCAGCCGATGGCGAGCCAGTTGCACCATGATCAACCAAAAGCACCGAACAAGGTAACCCCTCGTACCGCTTCACCAATCCCAACCACCACCACCACCACCACCACCACCACCACCACCACCACCACCACCACCACCACCACCACCACCACCACCATCACCACCACATCGCCACTGCAGCAACACCTGATGAGCCGCTCTGCCCAGGCGCTGGCGGCGAACCAGCGCTGCTGCTCCGATGACGCGTTGCGATGGTGCACCAGCGACGACAACCGCCGGGCCGCAGCTGTCGTCGTCGTCGTCATGGTGGTGGCGGTGGTGTGGTGAAGGTGTGCAAGTGGGAAGGTTTGAGGGTTGGGATTGGGAGAGTTGGTTGAAACAAGCCAGTGCACATGCGTGCGTGCGTGTTTGTGTGCGTGTGTGTGTGTGTGCGTGCGTGTGTGTGTGTGCGTGTGTGTGTGTGCGTGCGTGTGTGTGTGCGTGTGTGCTGGCGTTTGCTTCTCTCATTGCATTAGCTGCACACCTTTGCATTCCGGTGTGGAGGTGGCATGTATCAGGCGCTCAAAGGTCTCGTCCAGCCCTAGCTGTTGCATGACGGCTTCCTGCAAACGAGGTCGCATGGGTGCACGTGTGAACAGTTGAGTCACACAAACACAGGCGCATCTACGTGTGGATACAAAGATGCACAAACAACAAGTAGACACAGGCAGACAGGCAGACAGGCAGACCCACAGACAAACACACACACAGACACACAGACACACAGATACACAGACACACACACAGACACAGACACAGACACAGACACAGACACACACGCATACAGGGTCACGCGTACGCACGTGTTCCGCCTTCCAGACGACGGATTCATATTCGCGTTCCAGTCGCGCGCAGCGTTGTCGAAGCACTGGCAGTTGAAAAGTGAAAGGGGCAGGGGAGCGAATGAGTGGTGCAGTGAGAGTGCATGTGCAGCTTGTGATGGAGGGCAGCGATGATTGTCGTAGGCTGGAAACCGTGTGCATGAATAGCGGGTGTCAGCCAGTTGGGGATTGTCAGGCAGGACCACAGATCACGTACTTTCGTTCTCTTGCTGCCATCTGGCCTCGGCCAAGGCTCGCTCCTGGCGCAGGGATTCGGCCTGCCGATGCATGTGTTCTCGAATGCCTGCCACTTCACTCTCATGCTCTAGAACGGGGTTAGGGGTTAGACTGGAGTGTGAGACAGAGGGAGGGAGGCGGAGAGTTGAGTCAGAAACATATACGACGGCTCATCCAGGCACACACATGCACACACACATGCACACCTTGTTGGAGCGACGATAAAGCTGCTTGCAGTTCCTTCATGTGGGTCTCACTTCTCTTACATCGTGCAACCTGCAATTACACGTGCGTGTACATGGTAGGATGCGAGTCAACTGGTGCTCATGCACATGTGTGCACTCCTTGCCACTGCGTGGGCATGCCAACATGAAGCTGCATTGCACGTTACATTCAAGCAAACCAGCAGCCACATGTGCATGTGGAACCGCTGAGGGCGCACCTGCTTGGACAGCGCGCGCGTCAGCGCGTCATTGGTGACTTGTGCACTGGCCAGCTCATCTTCCACGCGCTCCAGCTGCTCCAACGTCTCTGCCCAGTACAGGCGGTCATAGAGAGACAAACGTTGACATTCGGAGGCGCACATGGAGAGAGAGAGAGAGAGGCGCACATGGAGAGAGAGAGGCGCATATGGAGAGAGAGAGAGAGGCGCACATGGAGAGAGAAGCGCACATGGAGAGAGAGGCGCACATGGAGAGAGAGGCGCACATGGAGAGAGAGGCGCACATGGAGAGAGAGGCACACAGACACACACAGACACACACAGACACAGACACAGACACACACAGACACACACAGACACAGACACAGACACACACAGACACACACAGACACAGACACACAGACACAGACACAGACACACAGACACAGACACAGACACAGACACAGACACAGACACAGACACAGACACACACACACACAGGGTGCATGTGAGCTGTGGGCCATCAGTGTGAGCCAATCACACCATCAAGCCACTCACCCCACGTACATACCAAGATGTTCAGTGAGCTCCTGTTCTCGCTCATCATCTTCCATCTCCGTCATCTTTTTCTTGCTTCTCTCTCTCTTCTTGTTGCTTCAGGTTTTGTGTGTGTATGTTTGACACAGAGCACCAGACAAGAGGACGAGCAACACAAGCAAGCGATGACAGGATGCAGACCGAGCGAGCCAGGACAAGCGAAGAAGTAGAACAAGTAGGAAAACAAGAGGGGGAGAAGGCAGAGGGGAAGAAGAAGCAAGGCGAGCAGGTTGTGAAGGGGCAACACACAGTCAATGAAAGGCAATGAAAGAAACTGTAATGTCACACAAACAACACAGACACACAGACGCAAACACAGACAACTTTACACACCTTTACACACCTTTACACACCTTCACACACATTCACACGTCGCTGGATGTCGTTGTGGTGCGGGGGCCGTGGCTGAAGACATCAACCTTGCGCAGGCCGCCACGACGCACAACGGCAATCGTCACCGCAGCGACGATGGCCACGGCGAACACGCTGCCAATCACCGCACCGGCAATAGCGCCACCGCTGAGGCCGTTTGCGGACGACTGAGTGGCCGCCTCAAAGCGAACGGCGTCGATGCTCTGGGCGGAGTAAGGGCTGAAGTACGCCACAAACGCGCCCTGGAACACGGGGGACGTGCGCATCTCCTGCGGGTCGACGGCAGCACGGGTGCCATCCTCTGCGATGAAGGTGGCGTTGAGCGCATCGGCGACGAGCATTGGGCGCAGGGCAACAGGCTCGCCCTGCTGGGTGTCCATGTGCTCAACCACGATGGTCGTGCGGAACAATCCGCGAATGGCGTCCGTCTCCTCCGCCGTCACGTTGGCGAGGACAACACCGCGCGCCTCTGGGAACTGCTGCAGTGCATCGCGCACCAGGGCAGACGCCTCTGTGGCGGTGAGGCCGCGGCGGGTGGTGACAATGTCCACGCGTGCAGACTGGCACGACGACAGCGCACGGATGCCCGTCTGGAAGAGGGAGGTCCCCGTCGGGTAGAACCCAAACTCGCACACGCAGCTGAAGGCATTCACGGCATCCATGTGGCAGTAGGAGTTGGCCGGGCAGCCGCCCTGCAGCACGGCGCACATGTTGCGGGGAGCGCACATGCCCGTCTCCTCGTCGCGGGCGTAGCCGTCCTGGCACACGCACCGGTGACGGTTGGGCCCGAGGTACTGGCACACCTCCGTCTCCGCTTCGCAGGGGCTGGCGCCATCCTCGCAGGGGTTGAGCGGAGTGCATGTGAAGCCATCGCCAGTGAAGCCATCAAGGCACGTGCATGTGTGTGTGCCGGGACCCGTGTGGTTGCACACCGCATCCTTGTCGCAGCCCGAGCGGTGGCCCGACTCGCACGGGTTGATCTCAGCGCACTCGTAGTCGTTGGTGAGCTCAAATCCTGGCTGGCAGCGGCACCTGTACCGGCCGGGCTTGTTGTTGGCGCAGACCATGTAGTCGCCGGGGCAGAGGTCATCGGAGTGCTCCACACACGGGTCCACGCGCTGGCACCGGTAGCCTGTGTGTGTGTGTGTGTGTGTGTGTGTGTGTGTGTGTGTGTGTGTGTGTGTGTGTGTGTGTGTGTGTGTGTGTGTGTGCGTGCGTGCGTGTATGCCGAGAGTGAATGAGAGTGTGTGTGTGTGTTTGCGTCTCTCTCTCTCTCTCTGCGTGTGTGTCTGTGCGTGCATGTAACAGATACAAGGGATGGTGCAGAGTTTAGCAATCACAAGAAGACATGTGGGCGGGAGCATGGGTTCCAAGTATCACCACCTTCGGGGTCGCTTTCTCTGCCAACGTCACGGTAACCGGCTTTGCACCGGCATGACTGCACGCGCGTGTGTGTAAGTATACGTGTACGTGTATGTGTGAGAACAAGTGTGCGTATGGGTATGTGTGTTGTGTGCGTGTGCATGAGTTGCAACAGTCCCAATGCAGCACAGTGTCACAAACCGAACAGGAACAAACAAACAAACAATGCATCAAAAACGCGCAATCACAGCGTAAGCCCACCGCTGTTTCGTTGACCACAACGCAGTCTGCATTGGTGGAGCACTTGAGGCTAAAGGCGGCGGCGTTGCACGCAGGCGCCTCCACACACGCTGTGCCGTTCTCGCTCAGCACATGGCCAGGCGCACACGCACACATGGGCTGCTCGTTGTCGATGATACAAATGCCTGCAAGCAACACCGGCAGCGATTGCACAAAAATTACACAGAGGACGCATCAGCATGGTGGTTCAATGCACATTCGCAGTGCAAGGTAAGGAAGCACATGTCTTCACCCAATCAATATCAGCACTCACTTGAGCTTGGATCGCAAGGTCCGTTCTCCGCGCAGGGGTCGGCACTGAAGCAGTGCGTGCCGTTGCCAAAGTACCCAGACTTGCACACACACTTGGCCTGTGTGTTTGGTGTGTGTGTGTGTGGGGGGGGGGGGAGGTGTGTGGAATTCGGGTCGTGGCGGTCGTGTGACAAAGGATGTGGGACCAACAATGGATGATGACAAGCCATCGGCACATGCAAGGCAGCAGGCACATACAGACAGACAGACAGACAGACAGAGACAGAGACAGAGACAGACAGTCAGACAGACAGACACACACACACACACACACACACACACGTACAAACGCGATCTAATTAGTTACCTGGCCTCGTTGGTTGGCGGCCACACACATGCCCTTCTCATGGCACACGGGGGCATCGTCGCGCTCGCATGCGCTGAACTTGCACGTGTAGCCATCACCGGTGTATCCTTCCTTGCACATGCACATACGCTCGTCTGCAGGGGAGTACGGTTGCATAGGGATGTGGCGTGGGGGATGTGGCAGGTTGGTGAACACCATGGTGAACACGACATGCACGCAACCAACAAATATGCGCATGACAAAGGGTGTGTGCAAGTGTGCATGTGTGCATGCGTGCGTGTGTTCGTGGCACATGAAACAACAGCATGGCAATCAAGGCGCAGGAGGCGTAAGAGGGCGTTGCAGGCCGGGATTGGCAACGCACTGTTCTCATCGACGCTGCAGTCTGCGTGGATGCTGCACCCGCCACTGGCGTCCACCTGGCAGGGGTTGCGCAGCACACACTCGCGGAACGGGTTGCCGTAGTGACCTGCAGTTGGCAGGCAGAGGGAAGGGGGGGGGGTGTCATGGCGAGTCGACCAGAGTGTTGTTTGTGAGGTTGTGCGCGTATGTGTGTGCGTGTGCACGTGTGTGTGTGCATGTGCGTGCATGTGTGTGTGCATGTGTGTGTGTGTGTGTGTGTGTGTGTGTGTGTGTGTGTGCTCGTGTCGACATGCGAAGCTGGCCACCTTGGTTGCATTCGCAGGACCATCCTGCCTCGTCCTCGTCCCGAACGCAATGGGCGTTGACGCCGCAGCCACCGTTTCCAACCTGGAGCAGAAGAACGCAACAGCGGATCGGTTAATGGCGATAACGACAAGGATGACGATGGTGACGGTCGCGGCGGTTGTGATTGGGGTGACGTCGAAAGGGGCGCAAGCGGTCAAATACACAAACGGCCCATGCTGTCAACAGCTCATGCGAGCCCTTGCAAGTGCACATATCATGCAGGCAACAGACCTTGCATGGCTCTGCAACGCGGACGCAGGCTGGCTGGCGCGTGACGGGCTGCAGCTTGCACACGTGACCAGGTGGGCAGGGGAATTGCGAGCACAGGTTTGGAGCCTCGCAGGCCACGGTACCGTCCTCGTAGAAGCGCAGCTCCCGATCATCGTCACACACGCAGTGTTGCTGTATTCGTACACGTGTACATGTGCGTGTGAGTGAGTGAGTGAGTGAGTGAGTGAGTGAGTGAGTGAGTGAGTGAGTGAGTGAGTGAGTGAGTGAGTGAGTGAGTGAGTGAGTGAGTGAGTGAGTGAACGATGCGAGCGTACACACCGAGGTTCACACTCATGCTGCGCACGTGTTTGCAGGTACAGTGCGGCACTTCACAGTGTGCACAAATTACACCCAGCAACTCACGCGGTCTGGGAACTGGGAGTCCTCCTGGCAGGTTGCACCAGGGTAGCACGTGCTGCGGTCCATGATCTCGTCGGTCATCGAGCCGCATTCCGGCAGGTGCGGCGCGCAGTTGAACCCGTCGTCAGACAGAATGAAGCCAACCTGCACCCCACACAAAGCACACACACACACACATTGCATGAGATGGTGGACTAATGTCTGGAGCATGTGCTATGGGGGGGGGGGGGGGGGAGCGACAAGCGGTACGATATGAAGAATGCCAGCACACGCGTGCACATGATCACCACGACAGTCGGTTCTCACCGCGCAGTGGCACATGCCGCGAATGCAGAATGCGCTCAGGCCGCAGACAACGCCGTTGCACGGGTCCGTGGGGACGCCTGAAAGACACGCAACCCATGCGATGAGACATTGTGTGAGTGAGTGAGTGAGTGAGTGAGTTAGTGAGTGAGTGAGTGAGTGAGTGAGTGAGTGAGTGTGAGTGTGTGCGTGAGCGTGGTTAGGTCGTTGGCAGTTTCGTGTGTAGATGCGTGTCAACTGGTGTCCATGCATGTCCACGCAAGCATTGTAGCCGTCATTTGTGCACAATTGCCCAACACAACGAGAGACGTACAGTCGAAGCCGTCTTCGTATTCCTCAAGATGGAAACCGTCGTTACATACGCACTGGCCGGCCGTGCACGTGCTGTGGGCGCCACACCTGCACAGGGGATGCAGACAAGCGGAGGGGGTGAGGAAGCGAATGAAGGTGAGCGACCACCAGGCAGAGGTGAAGAGCAGAAGGTACACAGATACACAGATACACAGATACACAGATACACAGATACACGCGCACACACAAAAGCACACACACATGCACACACATACGCACACACACACACACACACACACACACACACACACACACACACACACACACACACACAAAAGACACACACACACACACACACACACACACATACGCACGTAACGTTGGCGCAGGGGTCCTCGGGGGAGAGACCGTCCGCTCTGGTGCAGACGGGCTGGCGGTTGCGGATGTCGGCGACGTATCCATCGCGGCAGAAGCACATGCCGCGGCTGCAGTGGCGGTGGTGATGGGATGAGGCGGCGAAGGACGAGCATACTCGTGGGCTGAGGAGGGACGCAGATATGAGAAAATGAACACAAGCAAAGCCAACAAACAAACACACACACACACACACACACCGGCACTCGGCGTTTGGAATGAGGTGGCAGTCCACTTGCGCGCACAGCTCCGATTCCTCAGTGGCTGTGCGGACACAATTCAAGGGAGACCGCGTCAGCGCAACTGAGAACGACACACGCAAAAAGAACGGCGCATCGCTGCAAAGCACATTTGTAGACGACAGCATGTGAGCATTGGAGTGAACGAACGTCTGCACTCGTCGGCCTCTTGGATGTCACGATGTGCCTCGAATCCTTGGTCGCAGTAGCACGCTGCAACGCCGTTCTCGCTGATGCAGGTGCTGTTGCTGGGGCACTCAAAGTTGCACTCCTCAATCAGCACGCGTGGCGTGTCCTCAAAGGCTACAACAGCAGCAGCGTCGCATTGCATGCATGCACATGCATGCGCGTGAATGTGTGAAATTATTTTGTAAACTGAGCGGCTGACAGCAGACAGAATAACAACGATGTTGTGCCACAGCCCAAATACGCACATCAGCCGCATGGTGACTCCATGGCAGGCGGCATCGCCAACATCGCCACCGCGATCCGCTTGCCTCCGCGTTTGAAACACGGCACGTGCTGACACCCACCGTAGTCGCGGCGACGGTTGAATTCGCGCCTGAAGGTGCCGATGGTCTTGCGCTCAATGAGGGCAAAGGCGTCCTCCCACGCATCAACAATCGTCAGCGGTCCAAACTCAATCGCCTCTGTCGCAAGGCCAAGGTCAAGACCTGGTGGTGCAGCGGTGTGTGTGTGTGTGCGTGCGTGTGTGTGAGTTGTGGGTGCAGTCGTCTGAATGCAAGTCACTGGATGATGTGTCCAGTTTTGCAATGGGCGAAAAGGGAAATGCATGCAAGCACGAAGCATGCTTGCAGGCACGACTCACCCCAGAATGCCTCAGCAACAAGCTTCTGCAGGTTGATGTCGCCCTCTGCGCCCACATACGGCTGAAGCTGCACACATGTGAAACGGCAAGGTGAATGCAGCAGGGCGACCGTTGTGGGAAATTGATTGAGCACGCGCGCGGTGTGTGTGTGTGTGTGTGTGTGTGTGTGTGTGTGTGTGTGTGTGTGTGTGCATGCGTGTGCACATGCCAGCCAGCATTTGGCAATGTGGCGACTTACGCTGACGGTGAGGGAGAGTGGAAGTGCCTCAGTGATGAACAGACGAATCTACGCGCAAGACGAAGCGATAGCGCAAGCAACACAGGGGTCAAGTGAGAACCACGTCAGCATCTTACAGACGGCCACCCCAAGCAGTAGCAGTGTTGGAAGACAATTGACTCATATCACACGTGCAAACCTCGCCCTTCGCACTGCTTGTGCACCTGCGGGATGAGGCGTAGGACCGCTGTTGCGTGCACGCCTGCGTCGAAGGTTGGGCCGTGCGTCTCCAGGCCGCTGCCACCAACTTCACGGATGCCGCTGAAGTCGCCTGCCGCCGGGGGGGGGGGTTATGTGGCATTGAGATCAGATGAGCCCATGATGGTGCGGCAATAAGGTCACATGTAAGGAACTGCGTTGAAACGACACACACATCACATAGACACAGACACAGACACACACAGACACACACACACACTTACCATCTGTGTATGCGACGCCGCCTGTGATGGAGCGCTCGTACGAAATGCCGGCAGAGACGGTGACAGTGGCCGTGGCTTGCATCTCAAGCATTGCCCGGAAGCTAGAGAAAAGAGATGGCACATGCGGCGTGGTGGGGTTACATTGCATGTGGTGCGCAGTGGGTGGGTTACACGTGATGGTGTTCAAGGAGCTGTTGAGCGCAGGCGGGCGTGGTTGCGTGTGCAACAATACAGACGCATGCGAGGACAACCAGCCATATCATCACTGGGCACGGCTTGCCCTGAACGAACTTGATGCTGGTCTGCAGGGGGATGGTGATGACGGGGATGATGAATGTTGGGCCAGGAACACCATTCTCGCCAAGCAGCGGCGGCGTCTCAAACTCAAACGAGGCCTGTGCCTGGAACTGCGCCTGGAGCGTGGCCTGTGCAGCCGCGGTTGCTGTTGCCGTCAGCTCCATGAGATCAACGCTGAGGCCGCCGGTCGCGTGGAAGCGGAACGTCACGCCCGCGTTGAGCGTTGCATAGCAGTCCTCGCAGCTGATGGTCACACCACCTGGTGCAGCAAAAAAGGGGGGGGGGGGGAGGGGTTTGAGTGGGAGTGGAAGCAGTTTTGAGTGGAGGTGGAAGCGGGTTTGAGTGGGGTGGTGCACGCTTGCAGCGACACAAACACTAAGGCAGCAGCAAATATACGTCTGTTTTTTGTGTATGTGCATGCATGTATGGGCGTGCGTGCGTGTTTGTGTATGTCTACGCCGTACCTTCGCTGTACAGCTCATAACTTGCTTGCTCTGCATTACCACCACCAGCGTAGTTCCACTGCCACGAAAGCAACCGCACACCGGCAGGCATATAGATGAGAGCACATCAACGCAGTTCGCATGGACATGGCAAGTGGCGATGACACGACTGTGCACCTGGGTCGAAGCGAACACGAGCACACACGCCGACACCAAGAGAACAAGGCGAGGCAGGAAGCGCACCGAGACAACGTCGGCGTTGGCCGAGAGCTCCGCTGTGCAGTAGTCCCGGCCGTCGGCGCAGTTGTCTGCGGTGTGGCACCAGCTGGAGATGTCCTGATCGAACAGTCCAATGTCGACATCCACCCCGCAGTCGTCGGTGCACGTGCACCCCTGCACGGTCTCACGGCGCATGCGCGGAGCTGATGCGGACACACGGGAGAGCACAAGCAAAAACAGGATGTGCATGGATTGTGTGCATGGGTGTGTATGTGTATGGGTGTGTGTCAGTGTGAGTGTGCGTTTGTGTGTGTATGGGCGAGTGTGTGTATGCGGGTGTGGGTAAGTGTGTGTGCTCGTGTTTGTTCAGCCGTTTGTGTATCAAGCCTTGCTGGTGCATGGGCTTAATCAGCCTGGTTTGATGAGAAATAGACGATGATACAGAAGTGATCGCAGAAAGGGGAGCGTACCGCGTGGGCCGGAGCCTTGGGCCATCTGTGCAAACGTCACATGGGCGTGATGTGGAAACATTAGTGAAAAATATCATGGTGACGGGAATTGCGCAGCGTATGGCAAACATGTACCACGTCAATGCGGGTCTTGTACCGAGCTGTTGGCGTGTCCCTCCGGGCGATGGTGCAGTTCAATGTCAATCTCATCAAAGGCGGTCATAAAGTGCTCCCACTCCACGGAGAGCACAAGCTTGCCCTCGGAAACAGCCACCTCCTCCACATATGCGGCGGTGTGCTCGTTGGAAGGGCCGCTGCACTTGAAGGACTCGCCCGGGAACAGCACGCGCTCGGGCGCAATGAAGTTCCGCGCTGCAGTGAGAGAAAAGGGCAAGCATACGAGAAGGGGGTGGGGGTGGGGTTAGAGGTGACGCTAATGCAAGCATGCCACATGCACACAAGGACAGGTTTTGCTGCAGAACACACGGATGCAAATCGAGGCGTGTACATTCCACACACATGTGTACCCATGTACACAGACACACAGGCAGGCAGACAGACGCAAACACAGACAGACACATATATTCACAGACAGACAGACACACAAGCATGTACAAACACAGACAGACACATATATTTACAGACAGACAGACACACAAGCATGTGCAAACACAACACACTTACCAGCCTCGATGTCCGAGACGCCAAGGACGATGGATTCAGAGGTGCAAAGCACGGTGGTGACCTGGAAGGCGGCATGCTCATCCACAAAGTCTGACAGTGGCACAACGTCCTCAGCATAGGTCATATCGTAGCGAAGCTCCGTGTGCTGGCCGCCGGCCCCCTGTTGTATCGCAGACAGACCCCGTCGGTCAAGGTTGCAGGCAAGACTGGCGTGAGATGAAGGCGGCACTACAGCAGTGCCACAACTATTGAAGATCGGCCAGACATGAACTGTGTCTGGCATAAGGAAGCAGTACAGGCCCGCTCACCTTGACCACAAAGTGGTCGTAGACGCGACGCCCCTGCTTCGTTGGCTGGTTGTACTTGCGCAGGTCAGGAACACGGCTCGGGCCTTCATCGACGGCACAGTACGATTGCGCGAGGCAGTGTGTGAGGCAGTATGGGGGACAGCGTGCGAAGCAGCACGTGAAATAGTGTAAGGCAGTGTGAGAACATGCCACACACACACAGACACACAGACACACAGACACACAGACACACCTTGCTGCGTCGGCGTTTGCTGCACGTTGGCCTGGCCACTGCTTGGCATGCTCAGCACCACCAGCAGGAGCACCAGCGTCAACGCCACACGGACAACCCCGCCACGCATGCTTGTTGTTGTTTGCGTATTGGGAAAAGTGCAGCCAAACAGAACACAACGCCGCCAAAAAGTTTGAAGATGCTGTTGTTGGGGCGACTTGTTGCCTTTGCACCTCCTGCAGCAGCAGCAGCAGCCGTGCTGTCATTGTCTTCCGCGCCCTTGGTCGTGCAACCGCATGAGCAGCAACACCAGCAGCACATGGGTTCCAATGAGACGGAGAACTCCACGCTAGTTGTTATTGGGGGCTGCCTAGGCCGCGAGGGAGATCCAAACAGCGACGCAGGTACGATATGTGTGTGTGTGTGTGTGTGTGTGTGTGTGTGTGTGTGTGTGTGTGTGTGCGTGTTAAAAGTCATCTTGCTCCAGCTTGCTTGCTGTATGCCGTGCCATCCGTCCACTGACAAGCAACCTGTATCTCCTTTCGTGGCAGTGTATGCGTTGGAACTGGGGGGAAGCCATGCAAACCTGGTAGACCAGGGCGGCCAGGCACATGAGCACGATGGATATGACGCAAAGATACAGGAACGAGGAGGACCGCACTGGCAGTCCCTGCCCTCGCTGCCAGTGGCAGTGCGCGGGGCCGCCGCCACTGTCCGTCCTCGTTCGCAGCAAATCATCGTCACGGGCGGGTCCACTCCAGACGGGCGCTGCACAAACCAGGTGCTGTGCTGCTGCTGCAAGGTGCTTGTTGTTGCTACCGCTGTTCCTGCTGCACTGCTGCTCGCACATCGAGTGTGCGCAAGCGTCACAGCATCGGCCACAACCGTGCAAGTGCACACCACCTTCTCACCGACCACATGCACGTGTGCGCGCTCCTCTGTTCGGTCAGGTGCTTGTCTTGCACAAAGAAAGGTGGTCGGATGTAGCGACGCTGCCAGTCAGCACGTCCTGTCACACGTGCATGGCCGTAGATGATGACACCATTGTTTGTTGTGGTGGATGGGATGGTGCAGAGTGCCTCTCCACGACGCAATTGGTGAGCCTGGTGTCCATGCAGTCGTCACACTCTGACAACCTCATGGATGCGCGCAAGAATGCCGGCTTGGTTCAACTCGCATCTTCAAGGTGTGTATCGAGCGTGGTGTACATATGGTTGTGTGTTGCAGGGTACCGTGTAACTACAAGCGTGCGTGTGCACATGCACTTGTGCGTGGTAGCAATGTTGCTGGCACATCCGTTGCTCGTGTGTTCGGACCATTTGCTGTGTTTCACGTTACAACATGGCCCATGGATGTCCCAACTGCCGCCGCTGGTTGTGTTGCAGCAACGCAGCTGCGCTGCTTGTTGGAGGTTGGAACGGGCAGCGAACACTGCGCAGCACGGAGATTGTCACCGTCGGGCCCACTGCTCAACAGTCAACGTCAACACTCGGTCCTTTGCTGAATACACCCCGCGAATGCGCCGCTGTGGTGCGCTGTGATTGTATGTGTGTCGACATTTCGTGTGTGGGTGTGTGCTGTGTGCACGTGCGTGCGTGCGTGTGTGTGTGTGTGTGTGTGTGTGTGTGTGTGTGTGTGTGTGTGTGTGTGTGTGTGTGTGTGTGTGTGTGTGTGTGTGTGTGTGTGTGTGACTGCATCCTCATGCATGTGTGAGTGTGTGTGTGTGTGTCCTTCCTTTCGTCGCTTCCCCTTCCTTGTTGCTTTCAGCTTGCCGCCCCCACTCAACAAACACTCAACCCCCCCCAACCCCACAGGCAACCCAAGGTCCAAGCCATGGCGTGTGTGTGGGCGGATACAACGAGGATGACGTCTTGCTGCGGTCGTGCGAAGAGATGATGCTCGATACCAACGGCACCGGCGAGTGGACGGAGACGGCGTGGTCGTTCCCTGCTGCGCCGCGTGAAAACTCTGCTTGTGCCGCCACGCCCACACACGTGTTCGTTGCTGGTGGATGGGATGGTCACCGGGCGTTGCGCGATGTTTGGGTTCTCACTCGAGGTAACCATGCAGTGCCCGCCTGTCGTGCATATCGGCTTGCGAACGTGTGTGTCTGCTTTGCACATGCTTCTCTCTGTTCTTGTCTCGTCATGAAGGATGAAACACCACTTTGCTCATGTCATTCTTTCTCTCTCTCTCTCTCTCTCCGCCATTTCTTCTTTTCTTTGTTCTCTGCCGTCAAACGCGTGTACAGCCACAGGGCAATGGCACCAGCTGCCACCGCTGCCAGTTGGTCTGAATCGGGCATGTGCTGTCGTCGTACCGACCTCAACACTATGCACACGTGATGTGCCTGTGGGCACGTGAATGATGCAATGCTGCTATTGATATACACCTGTGGGAGGCCGGATTCTTTGTGTGTGTGTGTGTGTGTGTGTGTGTGTGTGCGACCCATTACGTATTCGTGTAAACGACACATGCAGGAACCCAACACATGGAGGGGTTTGGTTGTTGCCATGTGATTCGACTACAAGGCTTGTTTATGCGAGCGCCGCGCATGACTTGTACGCAACAACTAACACGTCCAGGCACATAAAGGAAGGAAGAAAGAAAGGAAGCCACCGGCGAATGAACGAATGAACGGATGAGTGAGGGTAAGCAGAAACGAGGGAATGAACCGACCAACGGATGAACCAACCACACACACACACACACACACTTACACACACACACACACACACACTACACACACACACACACACTACACACACACACACACACACACACACACACACACACACACACACACACACACACAATGTGCATTCTCAGCGGTGGGGGCGTGCGATGATCTTAATGGTTGCGCCGTCCACGTCCTCGTATCGGAGGCCGGATCCAGTGCAGAAATTCTTGAGCGCGGCCTTGATCCTCGACTGCAAGCAGCGTGCGAGCACACACACACGCACACACACACACGCACACACACATGTCAAACACAGTCCACACAGAGCTGGTCAAAGCAGAAGTTGCGCGAGCATGTACGGGGGACATGTCACGCACAGCGCAATATTCCAGTTGGTATTGCTGTTTGCACGCACCCGTCCGTCAGCGCTGTGCTGTCCCGATCCCGTTACGAAATAGAAGGAGCGGGGAGCAGTCAAGCCGCTGCGGCGGCGTGCTGAAACGCAGAGCAGAGGCGAACGAGTGAGGGAAACGCCAACGTTCAGTGTACGAGATACAACACACAGTGAATCAGAGACACAGAAACA